ATAATTATATGATGATTGTTATGAAAATGACAATGTTCAATGATGAGACTAGATGTCTAGGAAGAGAGATTACAATGTTAGTCAAATCGAAATTGAACAAAAATCTTCGTTAACTATGTTAAATATGTAAATAAGATAAGATGTTGATACTCAATGATGAAATTGAAAATAGGTCTATAAGAAGGAATTATGCCTCTAAGTCAACAGGATATACATCCATTTGACAAAATTCAGAATGCGGAAGAAATAGATGAGGAGGAAAAACTATTAGACTTAGAGCAAATTACAATTGTTAATCATCTTTTTTTATACGTGTTTCTGACAGAAGTTCTTTTTATAACAACTAAAATTCAAACAGAATTATAGAATAAAAATATTGAAAGACTTTTGTTTCTGTTATTTGTTTATTTTAATTGACTTTATTCTCAGTTTTTTTTAATCCATTTTTCTGTATAAGAGTAAAGCAGGCGTGTGAAAATATGATGTTGAGAATATAGATATTGGCACTTTATAGTATATACACACACACACACACACATTGTACCTATAAGATCTCAGTTTCACTTTATTGTTTAAAATAAAAACACTAACGTATGTGAAATATGTATGAATTGTCGTTGTTTTTATTAATTTTATTGTCATGCATTTAGAATAGAAAAGAGTGCATGTAACACTTAAGTAAGGTGTTTAAATTAAAAAGATCAACTATGTTTTCCTTTTTATATTATGATTAAAAAAAAGAAAGAGGTGATACACGGAATTAACTAAGTAAAAATTTTTATGTATTCGATTTTAACGTACACATTACATCGTTGAATCTATACTATACCTTTTACAAAATTTAGCGGTAAACATTTGCTCTCTAAAAGTAATCTGTATCGATTATAGTTATTTAGACTGATGAATGCTAACTATATGTATAATATAAATTTGTTCTTCATTCATAAATATGTTCAGCTTGTTTGTATTGTCATATATTGATAAATTAACTAAGCTGTCTCTTTCTGTAGTGACTTTCATTCTCTTCAAACAAAATTTGCACTTGACTTTGTATTTGATGACAATTGTCAAAGACAGATTGAAATTTATATCTGTTCTTTTGATATTGTATATACACACACATATTTAACGATCGATTGATACCATTTCTACCATCGTATATATATATATATATATATATGTGCTTGTAAGTATACATAAAAAGAGAGAAAGAGGAAAGAACATCAAGGATCAACGCAAAAATATAGAGTAAAAAAAACGAAATCAAAATTGTCTTTGTAGAATTTATCCTCTTTAAAACAACATCTGTTGTCTCATTGATCTTACTAACAGCTATTGATTTAACTAAAGATAATATCATCGACATAATATTAAATTAAAACAAAATTATGTTTTTATTTTGAATAAAATCAAATTGTATAGTATATTGATGGAGAGGAAGTAAATATTATGCAATACTCACGTATATTGATGTTTGTTTTTATTAAGTTCACTAAAATGGAAAAAAATACAATTTTCAAAGATAAATATAATCTCTAGAGCTGTATACTACACTTTCGATTGAAAAATTTATGATTTTAAAAGTTTATGTGTTCATGCAGAAAAAGATATTCTCTATGATATTACATATACGAGACGGAGTGTGAAAGAAAAAGGAAGATTAAAGAAACCTTCGGAGAGGTTTATAATTCTCATTTCTATATGTATAATACAGATTTGAGAAAAAATGTATAGCAGAAATTTGCTACATAATGAAACATTAAGATGGTTTCATCGAGTCAGTAACAGATTTACATCGAATTTCTGCGTATAAACTAGAACACCATTTAAATGAGAGTCCTACATATGCTGTCTAAAAAAAATTCATAGCTTGCAAAATGAATATCGATTTTAGCATTTGGTCCTAATAGAAACGAATTTCCGTATCGTACAGTCCTGTTTAACCTGTTTCGCAGAACACGCTTGAACGTTTTTTGCCTTGTGAAAGAACAGATTCAGGTTTTATACCAGAGAGAAAACGTTCAAGCGTATTCTGCGAAACAGGTTAAACAGGACTGTACGATAAGGAAATCCGTTTCTAATAGGAGAAAATGCTAAAACCGATATTCGTTTTGTAAGCTATGGGTTTTTTTTAGAGAATGGATCAATAAATATGAAATTAAAAAAGTTTGACCATTTGAAAAAAATTTTAAAACAAATGGGGAGTCAATTTTCAAAGTGATTGACTAAAACCAATTGGTGGTTACTTTCGCAGTCTTATTGGTATGCATAAAAAAAATGTGCTAAAAGTCTTGGAAACACGAAGCTGAAGTAGAGAGAAACTTATAAATTAGTTTGGGAAAAACTTTCATGTATCGTGGAGAAATTTTTCAACCATAATAGGACATAATCTGTAGTACATCTTTTCGATATGCGTACTAAAAGGCTCGCAAAAGCAATCACAAATTAGTTTTAGTTAATTGTTTTGAAAATTTCACTCGCCATAGGTTTTCACACTTTTCATACGTACAAACGTTGATTCATACGTCTGTCTCTCATTTCTATAGTGTTTTAACTTTTGTATAGATGTAAGTATAGGACAGACTTTATGGAATCATTTATCAATGTCCTACATATAATAGCAGAAGAGTATTTTATTCTGAAGATGAAAAGTTTATTAAAAATTAGAGTATAGTTTAGAAAAGAACGATTCGATCCTTATACTTTAAACAATGGAGATTTTCAAAAAAATTTGGAATATTTTAATTGCGGTTTTAGTATGCGTCACAGAAATGAATATTTTTCGTTTCTTTATTGACATAGACGAATTGTGTTAACAACATACAATAATAGTTGACCAGCATTTTCAAAATATGATTGATAACAGTAACTGCTATCTTTCAACTTTTCAAAAAACAAAAAAAATTTCATGGCTACACGTATCGTATCGTATTATCGTATAATAATTGAAAAATCATAAGTTTTGTGATACATACACGTTAAGATAAGACAAAAAGAAAAATATGGTATGTAACGTGACAAGACAGCGTGCTAGAAATTAACCAGTGTATGAGAGAGTAACAAAAATTTATTATTATTATTTTCAAATTAATTTTCGATATATCACTATTAAAAATAATGATAACTATTATATGTAAACATATTTATGCGTAATTCAAGATAAAAAAAATCGAATAACAAGATCATTTTAAATTTAACTTTTTATTTCTCAAGTTTATTGTTCACTTTTATCTTGAACGATAAGGTACCCATTACACAAGGTAATGTTAAAAAATCAACCGTTTTTTCGTTACTTTATACAAATATCATAAAATTTGATACAATCGTTTTAATTGTGATGGTCTATTCTGATGTAAATATCCAAAATATTTTTAGTTTAACGATTGTTCACAAAAATTTTCATTCGTTAGTGATAATAAATTAGTTTTATTACTTCTTTTTTTTTCTTTTTCTATAGTTTTATTCATTTATTTATTTTTGTTCTGACAATGGGTGTTCAGCGGGATATAAATCATTATATTGTTTTTTTAACATGATTTAACCTTGTAATTAATTTTCATTATCTAATCCTCTTTGTTTTAGTTTCTTATCGGTTAAAAAGTATTATTGGTTTTTTTTTCTTATTATTAAATGTTGTTGATAGCTTTTCGCTCTTCCATATCATCCTTAACTATATATTACCCTTTTTTTATATTATTACAATTATCTCTATGGTCAGAGTTACAACTGTCAACAGAGTTAATGAATCATTAAAATATTCTGATGTATTGACCTTGAAACAAGGTCTAATATATACAATATCGAAATAAACAACATTAAGAAAAATTAAAAGGACACTTGTTATTATTAGGTTTTGAAACATTTTTAAAATACTCATAGATCTTATATTGAGTAAAATTTAATTTGTTTAATACTCTCATGACAAATTTTGCAATATGTCATCATTTTTGCGTTATAAATGAATGAGTGACTTATTTAAATTTATAGAGTGTATGATCTGTTTTTGATAGATGATGATAATGTTCACCACCCAAAAAAAAGTTGTAGAAAGAAGAACATCGATAATAAGATGTTGATAAATTTTAAATAGAATTGTACATGATTTATTTAAATCTTATGATAGTGATATGATTGTGAAGAAAAAGAAAATTGATTTTGAAGCATTAGATAGTTTCTTCTTCTTCTTTTTTTTTAAATGCATATTTTTTCTCCATCTCTCTTTCTCTCTCTCTCTCTCTCAACTGTAATGTAATCGCATACATAATGAACCGTGTCAAAAACATGAAGTTGACATTTATCTGTATAGTATACACACGCACGCACACAACTAAGGTAAAGTGGGAGGAAATAATGTATACGATATGGTAACCAAATTGAATGTATAGTTTGTGTTAATTAAAAATAAAAGAAAAACAGGTAGAACATGTGAGTGTTTGTATGTTGATAACTCAATTAATCTTTACCGAGTTCAATTGTATTTCTTTTTTCTTATTGTCAACTTCAAAGTATATTAATCGATCTTTTTTGTCCTATTCATTGTTTTTTCTACTCATTATTTATGATTCAAAAAGAAGTAATATTGTTGTTAAGTCATTTACTATATCATTTACATCGCAAGTCAAATATGAAAACTTAACAACAGATTTTGATCGAACACCTGACTTCAACAGTTAGGAAAAGATCATGTCTAAATGTGACATACTCTTTTATTTGTTTGCAATAGATAACAAAGTCAATAGGCACATTTTTCAGAAATGAAGAATGAGATTTACACTGAAAAAAGAAATTGAATTTTTTCCTCTTATCGACGTTCACTATTAATTGTCAGATGAACATTATATTTCAAATACTATATTAGTTAGTTGTTGTTTTTTTATATAAACGTTTTTATTTCGAAGAAGAAAATAACAGAACAAATCGAGACAGTTGTCATATTACATCTATTTTAGTTTATTCTATTTTATTCTAGATATTCTTCAAAATGAGATGAATCCCTAACGATGAATTCAGACCATTCACAATCACCATCGATAAATGGTGTATATATTGCTTATACCAGTGAATTAAATGATGGTTCATTTTCTGAGAGTTGGCTACTACCAATACTGATATTATGTATCATTGGTTTTGCTCTAACAATTGCTATATCATTTTTATTCGTTTGTTTATCATTTAAACGTTTTAATGGTTTATATATACTGACAAATCTTCTCATTTGTTTGGGTGTTAGTCTATTATATATTATTATTATAATATTTCTAGTTCGTGGTACAGAATTATTATGTGGTCTAAGAGAATTTTTATCACAATTTGGCTATGTTCTTCTATTTTCATCATTTCTCTCACGTTATATAATGCAATGGCTTGGTGCTAGAATATTATCAAGTAGAACAAAACAATTTACAGCCATTTTAATTTATCTTCTATTCATATTTATTCAAATACCAATCGGTATACTTTGGTGGTATTTTACAATGCCTCGTTCATGTCCAATTTCATCAAATGATATTATTAGTTTAGTACGACCACCACCATTATTTCCATTACCTGATGAATTTCCATTTCGTCAACGTTCATCAGTGACAACAACGCGTAGTTCACAAGACTATTTATTTCCAATATCATTATCAACCGATCATAATAATAAAGTACAACGTCATTTATATAAAGCACATGATTTAGCTTATAATAAATTATGTTCGTATCGTTGTAATGTTGATTATCGTTTTTATGCAACGTATACATATACCATCATTCAACTGTTATTATGTACAATAATATCATGTTGTCTATTTTGTTTTCGAAACAATTATAATTCATCAGTACCAAAAACAACAATATCATCTGAAACATATCATACAACTACAACCCCGTTATCTTCAAAAACATTAAATTTTTTAACTATGTTTACCTTTGTACTAATCGATTTATTTTGGTTATTATGGACATTTTTCTATTTTTTTGCCCATTCCTACTACGTATTTCCAGGTAATGTTTACAAATTATCTATCGTCTAATGAGTTCAAACTTGAAGTTCAGTAAAATATTTAATAAAAAAATGGAAGATTTTTGTAACAGTTTCACAGTATATTAAATGTTTAAAAAATGACCATGTTTCCAATAGCTAACTTGAACTTATAATAAATTTTCAGTATTAGCCCATCAGTTCTTTCACACTTTGGTTGGACTCGTCGGCTATTATATCTTACTGTTTTGTTTTTGTTTTTAGCACTTGTTGGTGGAATGTTTTCAATTGCAACCTTATGTCTTATATTTATACTTATACCTCAATTATATTATTATGCGCATATGAAAGTATCATCTTCACTATATAACAATAAATCACAATCAACCGATACACATATTTTAGAAGTGGGTGATGGTAATGGTAGTGGACAAAAACTAAATAATAAAAGTAATACAAAGAAAAAACAACGAAAAAATAGAAAATTGACCGAAACAACACAACCAATATACAGTGCCGATACAACTGATAATGATGATTTATTACAACCACTATCATCTACACAAAAAAAGAGTAATAAATCGAAACATGGATTACGTATAGAAAAATTAAATAATAACAATGATAGTGAACAATCATATGAAAATGAAATTGGTACAAGTGGTACATTTTTACCGATAACAACGACACCACGAGGAATGTTCAAAGTCAATGATGAAACAACAATAAATAAACAAAAAATAAAACATCAAAGTGAAAATACTAAAATCAAAGATGAAAATAAAGTGGAAACACCGGTAGAAAAATTAGATAAATTAATTTATGGTGATCGTTCGGCTATCGCTAATGAGACACGCGTACATTCATCGTTAGGTGATGTTAATAGTAAAGAAGGAACGTATCTAAATGTCCTAAATAGTCAATTAGTGTCCACTAGTATACCAATAGAAGTTGAAAGACAGCCACCGCAACAATATCAGCAAATAGGACATGAGGAATCACTAACATTACAACCGCCAATAATGGGTCTTCAACGTCAGGTATTTTTATTTTAATCATACTTAGAACTCGAACTGACATCTTTTATGGTTCTTTTTTACTAATTTTAGTTGACATCTTCTTCAATCGCATCCGATTTTCTTACGCCTATCATGTATAATCCGGTGCAAACATTAAATCGGCCACATCGTTTATCTCAAGTGAGTACATCATTAGCATCCACTACTGATTATGGTGGCAATGATTTACGTTCAAATGTCTACTGGCCTCTAAGACAACAGCAATCTGAACGACATGATCCTAGTTCATATCCTGTTCATTTACGTCATTATGATGAGACAATAATTCCAGTTTCATTACAAGAAGAACAACGCCCACGTACCTCAACACCTCTCCAAATGTTAAATAGAACACATCATTTTGATAATACTCGTCCGTCGAATATTTACTATTCATCACAGCCACGTCGTGCTTATTCGGGTACTGAATTATCGATAAATCCATGGGCAAATCGAAGATATCGACCACGTTTTCATCGTGGACAATATCCACCTTATCATCATCATAGTCCTGAACATTCTGTAACAAATTGGGCACAACAATCACGATTTCGACCTCCATCATCACACGATAAAATATTGTATGTTGATCCATATCGAACAGTACCGTCAAGAATCGGTGGTAATACTTGGCAATCAGTTTTACTAAACGACTCCTCTCATTATCCAAAATATGATCAAATTCTACATCAAACCGAAAATAATACAGATAATTTAAATATGAGACAAATTTTTAGTTACGGCGGTCCCACGGATGATGGTCGATCATTGTCTAGTAGACTTTGGGATATAGATAGTGAAAGTAATGATGATGAGGAATTACCAACATGTTTAGAAAATGAAAAAGAATCATGGAAAGATAATTCATCAAAAATTGATTCACTTCTAGATTTTGATACGAATATTAGAACTAAAACTAAACAGCCGTTTATTGATGATGATAATGATAACAAAAGCAACGATTATTTATTGAAAAATATTGCACGTCCCGACAGTTTGAGTAACGATGAGAATGATGAATTATTAAAAACTGTGGATGATGACATGAGAAAGCCCAAACATCATGTTCAAGTATAGTAATCATCTGCATCATTGAATTTTATATTGATAAAACCACAAATTAAATTTTCTTATCCCTAGCAAATACACAACAATGAAACAATAATAGGTTTCTAACAGTTTATCTTAAACATCTGTACTTTGATGATATTCCCGTCCAGAAAACAGGGAATTACATCGTTGGATTGAAGTCAACGGTCAGATAATATTCCAGTATATTAGAATCACATTTTGTACGCTTCGTATTAGCCAAACTGTGCTATTTTCCAAATTTCACATGTGTACTCAGGAAAATGTAAAGTATCACGCAATGACTTTTTAGTAAAATTTCTCGCAAACATTGTTTTTGTATTATTTTGAACGTTTTTCCTGTTTTTCGTTCTCTCTTCTTTTGCTACAGTTATTTTTGTCTTTCTTAAATAATTCAAAAAATTCTCCAATCACACTCTGGATTTTCAATTATTTTTCCGTTCTGAACTTTTCAACAGTGCAATCTTTGCTGTTTTTCAGTTGATATTTCAAATTTTGTTATAGGTATGTCTTTGTGTATTTATAGAAAAAAAAGATGTTCGGATACAGCTCCTAGTTTGCCTAAAAAAGAAGATTAACAAACTCAGCCAGAAGTTCATGTTCACATTGTGTCAAGAGCTTTTTTTCTTAACTAGAAAAGAGTAGGGTCATCTAAATTCTATAATGAACAACGTCAGCGCAACATGTATTTCTCATCTTATATCTATACTGTGTCTGCATCTTCCTATGCATGATTTGTTACAGCATAAGTATTCGTTCGAAATAAATTTCAAAAGTACAACTATCATTTTAAGTTGATTTTTTCAAACTTCATTCTCTTCCTATAGTCATGATAGACTTAGAGAAGTATACCCGGTCTATAGACAGTAGACAATGAAGGTGAGTCGTGAGACTGCCCGTCTGGGATTAAGGTCTTATTATAGAAAAAACGAAAAATAATAGAAAGAAAATTATTACCTTTATGTATGAAACAGTAGATTATGGTAAAAAAGTACAAAAGGATACTGGTTATAAAAAAAATTTGATGAAATCCTATTATATCCTATAGAATCATACATGAACTACAGAATCTTACGAAGGATCTAACAGAATTCTATTGTGAGATTTGGAAGAACTTAATATAGAAATCCTACATGATTGCTTGTTTTAAGATGATAGACCTGTTTTCTATATGGATCCTATATGATTTCATAAAATCATATAAGATCAATCAAGATCCTATTATGGGATCTGACAGGATCTTACAAGATCTTATATGATCCTATTATAGGATTTTTTCACCTCGGTTTGCAGTAGACTATTGATATCAACACGAAAAGTCGAAAGTTTTCTTAATAAGTAAGTTAGAGCTATTTCATCCATATTCTGAGCATTCTTTACAACGATAGCAGGTTAGTATAATGTTTCTTAATGATTGTTGTTCAGTTGTATCTTAGTTCCTCTTGCAGATGAGCAGAAAAGCCTATACTAGCTCATTTTATTTTATCCTACTATCTCTGTATCTATCGAAATAGCATTTGTTTCAAGTTGTTATGTATATTACATTGGTGCCAGCAGTCGCCTACCGTTTACTCCACCCCCTCTAATTTTTCGGCTCAGACAGACATTTTTGTCTGCCTTTTCTTTTCTTTTGAATTCATATTCTCTCAGAGCAAGAAATATATGTACAAGATATTCATGTTATTGTTGATTATGATGTGCTAACAGAGAAACGGTGACAACCAGTATATAAAAAAAGAAAATGTTTGTTTACGTTCATATTGGATATGGACTTATTTATTGTCAAATACAACAATGATAACACCGAATAAATGTGATAATTTAAAACAGTTAGTAGGATTTGTATTTTCATATGGATATTTATTTTTCATATTGTATTATTTTGTACGAATGCATATGGAGAAGGTGTTTTCTCACATACGCGAGAAACATATAGGAACAGATTATTGTAACGTAATGGCAAGTGAAGTGGTTGCTGATGATCTGAAATATATCTAAACAGTGAGTGGCATCAAGTCCTGGTCTTTTAAAAAGAATTCATTCAAAAAATAAATAGTATTTTATAAAAGAAAGTTTTGCTACAGATATTAACAATAGTTTGTGTTTTGTTTTGCTTTTTTCTGCATGATTACTCTTTTTTTGTGAACTGAACAGTTCAGATCTCTCTTGAACAAAAGAAAATGTAATAAAAGTGAATTTGAACGTGAAGAAGATACTTTTTTCATTAATTATATTGCTTGACACATTAATTAGGTTAATATCCAGTTAATTTAGCAAAAAAATTGTCTTCCTTCCTTTCATATCCGTTTTGATAAAAGCTTTTACTATTCTCCTTTAGGAAGTCTGGCGTTAAAAAGTCTGAATAATCTCTTTTATAATACGTTGAATATGTCTTCTTCTTTTACCCACAAAGAGCGAGTGATAAAAGCCAAATAAAAGTGATCAGAGTGATGTTTTTCTGGGAACTTCTAACGTTGTACGTCCTGTAAAACTGCGTTACACCATCTAAAAAATGTCAATAACATTTATTGCATTGCTGACACATTGCTGCTCCTCGTATGCATCTGTTGTTCAACAGCAGAAAAGACAATCGCTGATTGTTTTCTGAATAACTTAACTGTTGCTAACTAGAGGTCTGCGATTTTCAGTATTGGAAAACCGATGACTCTCGCACATCTTTCTATAAAAAATATCAGCTCAAATATCTTTTTACAAAGTATGATTTTGCATTTTTTGGTACCGGTTCACCCGCTGTGCCAGGCCGGATCAGCTTACAATTGAAGAATATGAACGAAAAAATCCTATATTAATAGCATTTTGTACTGCTCAGAAAAAGAAAGTCATTTTTTTGAAGAAAGGGACTTTTCCACTTTTTACAACTCGTTGGTCATTGACGAAATGCTATTTTTTGGATAGCCTTAAACATCTAGTTTAGAAATACAGACTGTCCGCGCAATACAATCTTCCATTTCTGCATGAACAGTTCGCCAAGCTGTAATGTGAGCTTTGTAAATAAAATTATTTTGTTTACAGAAAGACTGGCAGCAAATCTTTTCTTTAAGCAGTAAGAGGTTTTGTGCGATACTAAGCCAATGATGCTTTCAAGTTAACTAATAGACATACGGCTGAAATTGTTTCGATTGTAACCACATAGAAAATCTTGGTTTTTAACACGTTAGGGAATTAATTGCTTCTTCTTATAGTTCAGCTGAGGAATAAAAGTGAGTACAAAAAAACAATGATGAAAGTTATTCAATAGGAAACGGTTTTTGCAATAAATTCGCATATACGTTAATATATATCAATGGAAACAGTCACTATATTCTGGTAGTTTTCCAACTGAATCTCTTAATATATTCTTGAAAATGGGTGAAGTTTTTTAGTTTTCATTTTCCTCCTGTGTACAAGCAGGCCTAACCGTATTGCTAAACATCATTGCTACATCGTTCGAGAAACCTAATAAGAAAAAAAATGACATTAGAACTAAATGTAATAGCGAAGAAAGAAAACTCCTTGATGCTTGTAAAATTAACAGTAGATATCAGAAAAAAGCCTGTGCACCGTGTGATGCACCTTTACAGACAAAATGATAGCCGATGCATTTTCAGCCCATTATTTCTTTCGAAGTTCTGAAACTACTTTCGTTGGATTCAGCATGCAAAACTGCGTATGTACCCGACATATTTCGGACAGAAAATAAAGAATGGGAAACCAGAGAAAGGTTTCTGTTAGATAATGTAAACTCTATTATGGGCAGACAAATAAAATCACTACTCGCGTTTGTTAGTTACATGAATTCAGGCCGACACTTTCCAAGGCCTCTCTAGTCTACTTTTTCCTCGAAACTGTATTCTAGTTTTATCAAAAACATTTTTTTAACTAAGAAAATACATATAAATTTCCTTTTTAATATATTGTCGTTTACACTAAATTTACAATTACAACTTACTAACTTATAACTTAAAGACTATCGTAGTGCTACGAATGAAATAAGCTACTGGACATGAAGCTTTTTAACGGTAAGCAATTATGCATATAGAGTCAAGTGTCTAATTGGAATTTCAACCAGATTTGTCTGACGTGTGACTCTATTATCGGGTGGAATTCGGAGTGATGCGAATTTCACCAAATTTTGGGGCTTTTGTAACTGAAAGTCTTATCTATTTAATGATCTAAAAATGTTTCCGAAATTCCCATCGGAGACGGATCTCAGGAAGATTTACTAAGGAGAGGGTCGTTTTGGTTCCTATTAGGCTGTGTCTAATGGGAACCGTACAGCGAAATGTGGGTCTTATTGGAACCGTCCCGTTGAAATTGCACGGGTTTGCAACATTTTAGTAAAATATATTTTCTAAAAGACTTTGTAAGATAAACTAAGTTTTATATGATCATAATCTGGAGAATAAGCCCCGTCGAATGCCATTAATTCTAGATTTGTAGGACCAAAATTGACAAGTTATAGTTACCATACTTTAGTATATGTAAAAACGAGATGATTGCATATTAGGCACTAAGCTTAATTGGAATCGTACAGCAAAACGTGTCTAATTCGAACCTGGTACATGGTAAATAGTACAGAGAGATACCTTTTTATTGTTGTTGCGCGAGAATGGAATGACCTTAACAACTCTTCTTTATTAATAGGTAATAGGAGTTTTTGTCACCATTAATGATTTCAAAATTCGTCTAATAGTGCGTCAAGGTTACAGCTAACGATGACGATGTCAAGATAAGATCATCTCTAGCAAAACATGCGATCGAGACCGGTCATAAAATCGATTGGGAAAATGCTTGAAGTCATTGATAGTGACAAAAACTGCTATTATCTGATAATAAAGGAGAGTTTGATGCAATGACATATCTTTACGTTTTTCTGTTAATTTTAACAGATTTGTTAAATATTCAATATGTTCTAAATCCTTTTGAGGATATATGTTTTCTAATTTTCGATGACTGATCCAACCATCTTTGAGTGTT